CTTGCATTTGCTAGGGTATGATCACTGTATTGCCTGTTCTCTTTTATATAACTCTGCATGTGAACTGGCCTTGTGGCCCTTTGCTTGTGCTCGGACTGTGTGGTGACTTTGTGATCCACCCTGAGCTTGCTTTGCTTTTCTTGACTGGTCTTGTGACCACTTGTTCTCCCCCACTTTGCCTACTGGGGTGTGTCAAAATGTTATAGTGCTTGCTTTGTGTAGGCTATAGTGGGGTAGCCCATAAGGGGTACAACCCAATTAGGGTTAGTACTTGTACCCAACTCTTTTCTAGTTCATTCATTATCGTTCGTTCTTTCTGACATACTTCTCAATTTACTATTCGTAACACCCTATATGAGCTAACGCAGTGGTAGTACATGCGCATATTCATTATTGAATGATGCACCAAGGTGATACCTTCAAAAATGCGTTTATTACCATTCAATTATTCCAACATACCGTACCACTCCAATTCTTACTACAGTACAGAAGGTTGCCAGTGACCTTCTGTCAGAATCATAGCCACTAACTACTGGGATACAAGGGCTTGTTTGTGTAGCGAGTGAGTGCGCTCATAACCTCTCAGGTCAGCATAACTGTATCCCTTCCTAGGATCAATCAGGGATCTCCAGTGCACCTCTGACACCCCCCCGAATTGGGATGCCCGAGGTGCACACTGTGATTTGAACCCGAGACATTCGCTCTGATACCATGTTAGAATCCCAGCCACTAACCACCGGGATAAAATGGCTTGTTTGTGTAGCGTGCGTCCATCTCCCCAGGCCAACGTGCCTGTAACCCTTCTTTAGGGATCTCCGGTGCACCTCTGACACCTTCGAGCGTGCAATGCATGCTAACTTTGTCTGGTGCTATGAGGTTGAGGACATTTGCTGTGGATCGCAAGAGGCTAATTGTGGACTGGGAGTTCATCACGATTAGTTGTTGCCTCAGCTGTTGCCTCCATAGCTGAGATTGGAGGGTTTTGGAAGATAGTGTGGCAAATTCATGCTACCACCATTGAGCTGTTTTTTAAGGCGTCCTTCTAGATCCGTACGAGGCATCGGGCCTTGCCCACGTTTTTTCTTAATTTCAAAGAATTCGAGTTTCTCACCTCCTTTCACCTGGATATTATATAGTAGTTGTAGTTTTACAGTCCAGCTGTGGTTACCGTATCACCCCGGATATAACCGCAGGCCTATTAAAAGCGCATGCGCTTATATCTGGAGCAATGCGCTTATGGCCGATCCTCAATTAGAAGCACACCCCTTATAAAATCGTTACTTATTATAAGCGCACCCTTGTAATAAAAATACACTTTGAATATGTCATTATCTTTAGAGCTAAAGCAAGGCTATTGCACTACCTAAAAGTTTTGCACTACCTAAAAGTTTTGCACATACAATAGGGTGACTATTGTCCTAGCCTAAACACCATCTTGCCTAGTCTAGCCTTAAGCCTCCACTTCCTCCACGTCTGATTCAGGCTCTGTGGAGTTGTTGCCCCAGAACCCGTCTGCTTGGATGTCGTCGTCTACCTCTACCTCGTGGCTCAGCTGGCTTCTCCGGTGCGCCATCACCATATGGTCCTCGCTCCCGTCGAAGGCATTGCTGATGCCGCACGTGAGGAAGGATTCTTAATCAGGTCGGCGGGCACGGCCTTCCACGCCCGTGAAATCCACTTGAGCACCACCTCTGGGGGTGGTTTCTTGATGTTCCCTGCACCACATGAAAGGGAGTGGGGACATTAGAACACAAGCAGGCAGACAAGCACACGAAGGGGAGACAGGAGGACATGTCCTCGCTCACCTGCAGGTGTTAGGATGTTCATGCCGTCCGCCTCAAACCAGGACTGGTACTGCTGGCGAACACTTGCTTTGAAGCTCTTATTCACCGACACATCGAGCGGCTGCACGTCTGCCGTGCATCCCGCTGGGATGACCGCCGGCACGATGTTGAGCGCCGTGAATCTCGCCTTGACTTCCATGGTAAGGTGACCACGGTAGGAGTCGAGTACTAGCATGGCGCTCCGACTCTGCACGCCGAATTTCGGTTTCAGGAACGGCACCACGCTCTCATCGAGCCACTGGATGACGCCCGTGGCCTCCATCCACCCGTTCGCTTGGCAGCCGACCACGACATCTGCACACAAGCACGCGGTGGTTAGTCCCTTTTTTTATATATAACGTCCAGAACACGCACAAGAACATGTGCTTACCGTTCGGGAAGTCACCCTTAGGGAGTGTCTTGCGCTTGAAAAACACCCACGGCTTCAACTTCTCGCCCGCCGCCGTGCACGCTAGCATCACAGTGACTCTTTCTTTCTGGTAACCAGCGCTACGGATGGGCACCGACTTCACGCCCGTCTGCTCCACGGTGGTAGTGGCCGGCATCTCCAACCAAAGAGGCGTTTGGTCGGCGTTGATTATGTATCGATTGTCGATCGCGTACTCGTTGCGTGCGTCGCGGAAAAACAGCCAAAATTCTTTGCATTGCGTCGCCACGTCTGCGCACGGGGAGGGAAGGACAGATAGGAAGAAGGATGCGTACAACTCATAAAGCATGCGAATTCGCTCGAGGTAATCGATAAACAAGGCACTTACGCTCCTGCGTTTTCTGCGCCACCTTAGTTTTCATGCGCACGCTGAGGTTCCACCGCTTGCGGAACTGCTCCGACCACCGCTGACTCCCTTTCCACTTGACTTCCGGGAACAGCACCTTCATCACTTCGCGTGACCATTCTTGGAGCCGGCCGACTGAAACTGCAACACCGCGGCGTCGCCAGTCAAGGAGTTGAGCGTACACCTTTAACTCCATGGGTCTGTACCAAGAAGACCTCCCGCGACCATGAAGTCGACACCGTGCGGCATGTGAAGCCTTGAGCTCCTCTGCTTGGCTTTTCCACTCCGTCAGGCATTTACGATGTATGCCAGACTCCCGCGCGACCTCGCTTATAGATGCTGCCAGCTCCAGCCGCACGAGCCACCTGGTTTTCTCCTGGGAGGTGTAGGCCTGCCGTTTATGTTGAGACGGCTTGTGCCTGGGAGAGGGGGGGCGGGCATCTCGGTTCTGGGAGGAGGGGTGGGGTCGTTTTTTGTTAATCAGCGGATACGTCGGTATCGGCATCTTCTCGCGTGGTGCGTCGCGCCACCATGACTCCACACTGTCGTCGTCCCCGGCACTTGCACCACGATCTGGGAGCACGTCCTCCTCGGCGCCCGCTTCACCGTCGCCGACACCGTCGCCGTCGCCGCTGTATTGTTTATCGGCGGCCACGTCATCGTTGGCGCCCACAGCCGACTCGTCCCACGTGCAGGCTTCGGGCTGTCCCCACCGTGGTGCAGGCGGCGGAGCCTGAATGAACACATCAGGGGCCTTGGGTGTGTCCGGTTCAGACAGCCACTCGTCGAAAGTGGCTGGTAAATACAGCTGGAGCACGGGCCGTTGGTGAGCACTGGCACCGATATCAGGCGGATTCGGAGGAGCGAGGGGTGCGGGAGGAGCAGGAGGAGTAGGAGGTGCAGGAGGAACAGGAGGAGCAGGGGGCGCTGGGGGTTCAGGTGGCACTAGAGGCGCTGCGGGCTCACGGGTATACCACCCGTCGTCGGTAAGTCGCCATGGGTGAGCTCTGTTGTTCTTGAAGAGGAAGTGCGTCCCGCTGAATTCCGCTATGGCTTCGCCAGCCAAGCGGCCTACACTGGAATCTGAATGAAAAAAATGAAAGAGACGGTGCACAAATGGGCAACGAAGGGGACCCCGTAAGGTTGGCGCCTCGGGGTCCTCGTCAATGACAGGCGGGAAACCCCCGCCTACCCCTGTAGAGGACCCTGCGTGGCAGCATAATCGCTGCGCTGGCAGGGAATATTCGTCACCCTTCGAGAGGGTTCGGAAGAAATGCACATGTCACGCAATGCATGCGACTGTGATTGGGCCGCACGGCAACATCCCCGTCACTGCTGTCACGATCGATGGTTCTAGACAAAACTGTGCGGTGGGAAACCGAACCGCTGCTGTTTTTGTCTGAAAACCATGCACGATCCCACGTGTTGCATGGTCGGTTGAATTCGCCTTATTGCGGGCTTCAATTTGGTATGTTTAAAAGTGATTTTTTTTCCTATTACAAGCGCATGCGCTTATAAAAATGACTCGATTAGAAGCGCACCTCCCTAAAAAACATTGTTTTATTATAAGCGCACCTGCACTTCTATCCGGGGTAATACGGTATTGTTGGACGATATTGATGTACGCAGACCCACATGGAATGAAGTGCGCCGTCTTTACAAGTTGCCTAAGGCAACTCTTTCACCATCAGCTGCTTCACAGAGTTGGCACCAGGGCTAATTTTATCAGTATAAATCACCCTGATACCTTGATTACTAGGGTGGTTTTTGGTAGTCACACTGATGGCCTAGGGTAAATTTTTGTGGAGCTAGGATTTTCCTGATATGCCAGGGTTTACATTTAAGGCACACTAATGCCTCAGGGTTACTGTTCTTCATAACGAGTTTTACCCTGAAGCGAGTACCATACCCCCCCCCCCACTTCCCCCATCCCCCCTTTCCTGTAACCCAGGATTCCCGATTGCCAACTGTCGAAACCGGAATTTCAGCCTGCTGAAGTAACTGACGACAAGCAACACCCATGTGGCATGTATGATGATCTAATTTTTTTATTGTGTGCAACGATAACATCAATTCATCAGGGTTTGCTAAACTGGTACACTGATGCCACAGGGTTGGATTTTCAAAAACAAGAAAAACACTGATGGATCAGGGTTTGAAGGTGTCACACTGATAATCAGGTTTTTGAACAGGTGCAACACTGATCACAAGGGTTGCTCAAAACAAAAAATTAGCCCTGGTTGGCACCTAACAGTTTATGCCACGAGTAAACGGTCCTCCTGCTTGCAACCACTACCCTTCATTAGCCGTTGTGACCTCACTTCTGCATCTGGAGGCACCACAAGCACTTGCAGCTTTCACCATGCTATCACATGGCAACACATCACGATACAAGCTTCGCTAGAACAGGCTCCACTACAAGTTTGAGCAGCTCAGGGCGTTTAAAGCGGTACTCTTGCTTGATCGCCTCAGCTGTTGCCTCCACCAGCCCCTCTGGCTCGCCCTCCACCGCTGCTGCGCCTCGTGATGGCTTTCCTGCTGAGCGCAGTGCTGCTGATGCCTGCACAACATGCACCACATTTGGGAGAGCATGTACGAAGTTGGCACGGGGTTGGAAACACAGCCACCAGCCCCTCCGGTTCGCCCTCCACCGCTGCTGCGCCCCATGATGGCTTGCCTGCTGAGCGCAGCGCTGCTGATGCCTGCAAAACATGCATGCAGTGGTGCACACATGTGGTCATGCACACAGGCACCAAACACAAGGACGAAGCACTCAAGCAGGTATGAAGCAGTCAATCACAAGTGCCTAACCAGCCTGTACCTTGTAACATCTATGCCCCCTGTAACCCCTTGTGCACTCACCATGCAAGTGCCATAGAGCACTCACCATGCAAGTGCCATAGAGCACTCACCATGCAAGTGCCATAGAGTACTCACCATGCAAGTGCCATAGAGCGCCCTCAGGTTGGTCCCTCCGCTGTACTCAGTGGCAGCAGCGTAGTGTGATACGGCCTGCCGGTAGTTCTCTGCCCCGCCTATTGAATAGAGAATCTGGAAAGCAAGGGGTGAGAGAGAGTGAGAAACTCAATTGCAGCAACGTGGTGTGATAGGGCCTGCCAGTAGAACAAGGGTCAAATGCACCTTCCACTTAACCCTTCTCCAAGATTCCCCTCACTCCCCCTCCCCCTCGCCCTCCCTCTCCCCCTCCTGTTCCCCCTCCCCCTCCTTCTCCCCGTCCCCCTCCCTCACCCCCCCTAAGAACATGAACAGGTGCTTCAAAGAACATCACAGGCTCAGCATCACGAACACACTCACAAGGTCACAAGAGCTAACACACAACACCACTCTGCACCACTTCATATCTCCCAGAAACTTGGCATGAATGACAGTGTGAATGCGGTGCCACTCTACATCGATCAGTGGCACCCTGCACCACATAGCTAACCTCTGCACCGCTCAGTACCACACAATACCTCAGCATAAGTGACATGGTAGATGGGGTTGACAGGGGCTGACAGAACCACTCTACACCATTCAGCACCACACAATACCTCAGCATAAGTGACATGGTAGATGGGGTTGACTGGAGCCGACAGCAACAGTTCCTCGTAGCAGAAGGCAGCTTGCTTGAACCTGAGCGTTACACACGACGCGTTGACGAGAGGAATGAAGAGGAGAGAGGAGAGGAGGGAGTGTGTGTGAAAAAATGGGAGCAGGGTAAAGAATGGATGAGGGCAGGAGCAGCCAACAAAGCTGCCTCTTTGAACCTGGAAGAGGGAGGGGGCTCAAGCGGCAGACGGGGAAATTGGGTGCAATCAAGATGGCAAATGGCCAAGGGTGGTTTGGACGGGATTGAAGTCAAAGAATGGTTCTTCAGTGATCTCGAAAGGTGGTGAAAATAGAAGAGGTGGGGGAACAGATGAGGGGGGAAGGGGGGAGGGGAGGGGGAGGAAAAGGGAAGGGGCAAAAAGCGATGATGGAGCAGCAGCACAGCAATGGCAGCAACACAAGGCGATGCGTGTTCAGGCATGGGCATGGCTACATGCACGTGCACACGAACACAGCAGAGGCAGCAACACATGACAAAGGGTGCATGGCAACTTACATGTGCAACGAGAGGTAAAGGTCCCCTAGCTCCTTCCATGCCTCGTAGTCTGCCATGTAGCTGGAGGGAAGGATGGGAGGGGAGGAGGGGGGGATGGGAGGGTTGGAAGAGGAGGGAGGGAGGGGGATGGGGTAGGAAGGAAGTTGGGAAAGGGGGGGAGGATGGGGACGGCAAGGAAGACAGAAGGGAGAGTGGATGGGTCAGTAGAGGAGGACGGGGGAGCGCGAGGAGGACAGGGCTGCAGTATGTATTACATCACTGCACAATATAGCACAATCTAGCACAATATAGCACAATATAGCAGATACTCTTTCAGACCACCACTGCACACCCATCGACCGCACACCCACCAGCCTCAAATCTCAATGTATTTCTTGAGTGTAGCGATACTCCCCTCGAATCTCAATGTATTTCTTGAGTGTGGCGATACTCCCCTCAAATCTCAATGTATTTCTTGAGTGTAGCGATACTCCCCTGAAATCTCAATGTATTTCTTGAGTGTAGCGATACTCCCCTCAAATCTCAATGTATTTCTTGAGTGCAGCGATACTCCCCTCAAATCTCAATGTATTTCTTGAGTGTAGCGATACTCCCCTCAAATCTCAATGTATTTCTTGAGTGTAGCGATACTCCCCTCAAATCTCAATGTATTTCTTGAGTGTAGCGATACTCCCCTCAAATCTCAATGTATTTCTTGAGTGTAGCGATACTCCCCTCAAATCTCAATGTATTTCTTGAGTGTAGCGATACTCCCCTCAAATCTCAATGTATTTCTTGAGTGTAGCGATAATCCCCTCAAATCTCAATGTATTTCTTGAGTGTAGCGATACTCCCCTCAAATCTCAATGTATTTCTTGAGTGTAGCGATAATCCCCTCAAATCTCAATGTATTTCTTGAGTGTAGCGATACTCCCCTCAAATCTCAATGTATTTCTTGAGTGTAGCGATACTCCCCTCAAATCTCAATGTATTTCTTGAGTGCAGCGATACTCCCCTCAAATCTCAATGTATTTCTTGAGTGTAGCGATACTCCCCTCAAATCTCAATGTATTTCTTGAGTGTAGCGATACTCCCCTCAAATCTCAATGTATTTCTTGAGTGCAGCGATACTCCCCTCAAATCTCAATGTATTTCTTGAGTGCAGCGATACTCCCCTCCATGTTGCCTTGCCCTTCACCACTGCCTGGCAGCAGGACATGCAGTAGATGGCACCAACACCACCGAACACCACCGCAACCCAACACCACTCCACCGCACACCTCCACACCCCTGCACTCACGTTTCGAGGTACTTCTTGAGTGCGCCAATAGCTCCCACCATGTTGCCCTTGCCTTTCAGCACCGCCACCTGGCGCTTCAGCACTTGCTGGGAGCAGCAGCAGTGTGCACGATAAGGGAGGAGCGAGGGAAGAGAGGGGAGAGAAGGCAGAAAGGGTGTTCCAAAGGCTCCCTCCCACCGTGTTGCCCTTGCCTTTCAACGCATCACCACCTGGCACTGAGCAGCACTGGCTGGAGTGATCTTTCACCCCCTACGATCACGTTTCCAGAGTGACGCACCATTGGGGAGCAGCGAGGAAAGGGAGCGAGAGAAGACAGAAATGGAGTTAAGATGGCTGCTGCAGTGTTGTCTTTGCTCATGAGTGCTGCCACGTGGCAATCCAACACTGGTTGAGGGGGACAAGAGGGAAGAGAAGAAAGGGCAGGCGGTAAGAGGGAGGCTCTGTAAAAAAGGCATACCCACCTGCTCCTGCCGGCACACCCACCTGGTCCTGTTGATTGCTCACCAGCAGATCGCTGTACACATTGTCTGCCTGATCCCACCACCCCTTTTTTACCTTGCTGCAGCAGTCATTGCTGACCCTGCCACAACAGAGGAAAGGGGAATGGGCACACCTGGCCCTCCACACCCACCCACCTTGTCCGCCTGATCCCACCACCCGAGTCTTGACTGTGCTACAAGAGAGGAAAGGAAAATAAAACCCTCTCAGTTGCTCCTGCGGCCATACCTGTTAGACTTGCCATATTCTAGCATGCTAACACTTGTGACTGTACACCAATTGTGGTGTACACTTGGGTTGGGACTACACCCGACTTTGGGTGTAGTCTTGCATTTTGGGGTGCCAATCCAACCCAATTGTGGTGGAGCCCCCAAATGCAACCCATTGGGCCATAGGTTGGCCCACTCTCACAAAGTGAGGCCAACCCAACCCAATGGGCCATAGGTTGGCCCACTCTCACAAAGTGAGGCCAACCCAACCCAATGGGCCATAGGTTGGCCCACTCCCCCAAGTGTGGCCAACCCAACCCAATGGGCCATAGGTTGGCCCACTCCCCCATTCCCACCTCCCTCCTTTCCCTTCCAACCCTCTCTTCCCAAAGCTATGTATGCTTGCCAAATCTTCTAATCAAACTAATGCTTGAGTTTCCATTCTTCACATGGTATAGAGCTAGGTTCTCCTACGGCCTTCCCTTCCCCCTCCCATTTTTCTTTCCCAAGGGCCCACCACACGCTTCCCTCACGCCGCGACCGTTCCGTCGCCGTCGTCCCCTCCCTTTCTCCCCCTCCTCATCTCGGCACCTTCTCGCCGCGACCTCCCCGTCGCCGCGTCCCGCGGATTTCGCCGCCAAGTCCCGCCGATTTCCCCGCCGCGTTCTCTCCGCCCGCGGATTTCCCGCGAATTTCCCCGCCGCCGCGGATTTCCCGCGAAATCCCCGCGGATTCCCCCGCCGCCGCGGATTCCCCGCGGATTCCCCGCACATTCCCGTCGCCGCCTGCCCTCCTCGTTCCCGCGCCCTTTTCGTCGCAGATTACCCGCGGATTCCCCCGCCGCCGCGAATTTCCCGCGGAATCCCCGCGGATTCCCGTCGCCGCCTGCCCTCCCCGCCCCCGCAACCTCTTCGCCGCGAATTTCCCGTGGAATCCCCGCGGATTCCCATCGCCGCCTGCCCTCCCGGCCCCCGCGACCTTTTTCGTCGCGAATTCCCGCGAATTTCTCGCGGCATTCCCCGTCGCCGTGCTTCCCCGCGGATTTCCCGCGGAGTTCCGTCGCCGCCTGCCCTTCCAGCCGCCGCGACCACGCCGTCGCCGCCTGCGCACTCCTACCGCCGTGACCGCGCTGTCCTCGCCCGCGGTTTCCGCCGCCGCGACCACATCGTCGCCGCCTGCCCATCCCGCCTCCTTCCCCTCTCCGCTTCCCCCCCCCCCCTCTCCTTGCAGCCCCAGCCACGGCAGCAGCAGCAGCAGCAACAGCAGCAGCAGCGACAGCAGCAGCAGCAGCGGCAGCAGCGGCAGCAGCGGCAGCGGCAGCAGCAGCAGCAGCGGCAGCAGCAGCAGCAGCGGCAGCAGCAGCAGCAGCGGCAGCGGCAGCAGCAGCAGCAGCAACAGCAGCAGCAGCGGCAGCAGCAGCAGCAGCGGCAGCAGCAGCAGCAGTGGCTTCCCCCGCAGCGGCAACAGCAACGGCAGCAGCGACATCAGCAGCAGCCGAGCCAGCCGCGCCCGTGACTGCTCCCTCCTTCCCCTCCCCCTCTCCCCCTCTCCCTCCGTTACTCCCTCTCCCCTCTCCTCGACGCCGCCGCAGCAGCTACAGCCGCGGCAGCAGCGGCAGCGGCAACAGCAGCAGCAGCAGCAGCGGCAACAGCAGCAGCAGCAGCAGCAGCAGCAGCGGCAACAGCAGCACCAGCGGCATCCCCAGCAGCACCACCAGTGGCAGCTGTGCCACCCGCACACGTGACTGCACCCTCCTTCCCCTCCCCCTCTCCCCCTCTCTCTCCGCCTCTCACTCTCCCCTCTCCTCGAATCAGCGGCAGCAGCTACAGCCGCAGCAGCAGCGGCAGCAGCGGCAGCAGCAGCAGCAGCGGCAGCAGCGGCAGCAGCAGCAGCAGCAGCGGCAACAGCAGCAGCAGCGGCAGCAGCAGCAGCAGCAGCGGCATCCCCAGCAGCAACGATAGCACCGGCAGCAGCACCACCAGTGGCAGCCGTGCCCGCCGCGCCCTTGACTGCACCCCCCCTCCCCCTCCCCCTCTCCCCCTCTCCCCCTCTCCCTCCGCCTCTCCCTCTCCCCTCTCCACTCAGCAGCAGCGGCAGCTGAGGCATCCCCAGCTGCAGCAGCAGCAGCGGCAGCGGCAGCAGCAGCAACAGCAGCAGCAGCGGCAGCAGCAGCACCAGCAGCAGCAGCAACAGCCGGAGGGGTCCAGCAGCAGCACCTCCCCCTCCCCCTGGCCGCCGCGGGTCCACCCGCCGTCGCCTCCCCCTTGACCGCCGCGGGTTCACCCGCCGTCGTCTCCCCCTTGGCTGCCGCGGGTCCACCCGCCGCCGCCCATCATGGCCACCACCCCTCCTGTTCCTCTCCCCCCTCCTATCGACGCCTCTTCGGTTGACAAGCTGCAGCTTGCTGCAGATTGTTCCGCCATCAACTGGCACTCGTTCGTCGGCAGCATTCGCCGCGTCCTTCAAGACGCCTTCGTCGGACCCTACTGCGTCCTTGACGTCCTCCTTCGCCGTCCGCAGGCTCTCCAACCGACCGCACCCAATCACCCTGGCGAACCTCCTCCCCTCCCCCCCCCGCCCTGGCCCCCCTCCTCCTGAGCCTAACCTGACCGTTGCTACTACCCCCGAGCTTCAGGCTGCTGCGGACGCCACCTTCCTCCACCACCGCCGTGAATACCTCATCCGCAAGGCCGACCATGACGTTGCTCTCCTCAACTATGAGTTTGCCTCGTCCGAGCGTTCCACTCGCCTGGAACTGATTGCCGAGTACAACACCTCCATGGCGGCTTATGTCCCCAACAGCGTCGCCTGGGCCGCTGCCGACAGCCGCGCTTGCACCATCCTCCTCGGTGCACTCCCCGACACCCTTATGCACCGCTTCCAAGCTCGCGAGATGCGCGCTCACCTCATTTGGACCGAGCTCCAGTCTATGTTCGAGCGTCGCGACATCAGCTCTGTTGGCGTTCTATTCCTGGAGTATTTCTCGATCACCCTCGCCACCTGTGACGGCGCAGTCGACTATGTCGGGCGCATGCAGGAGGTTGCCGACCGCCTTGCCGCTCGCCAGGCTGCCCATTCCGAGCCCCTGCAGATCCACCGTCTGCTCTTCAACCTCACGCCAGACTATGAGTCCCGCCTTCACGCCTTCACCGAGGCGAACCCTTGGCTGGCCTCCCCGAAGTGACGCAGTGGATCATTGACACGGAGGTCAAGCTCCGCACCCCCATTGTCAACCTCACCACCACTCACTCCTCCTCCGCCTCCCTCAATGCCACACAGCCGCGCCCTCAGGGTGGTCGCACCGGCGGTAGCGGGGGTCGTGGAGGGAGTGGAGGTGGCAGTCGGGGTAGTGGCCGTGGTGGCCGTGGTGGTAGTGGTGGTGGTGGTGGTCCTAGTGGCCCCGCTCCCGGAGGCTCCTCTAGTGCTGGTGGAGCTGTGAGCCGTGGTGGTGGTCGCCAGGGGACTCTTCCCCCCTGCACGTATGTTCGCCGCCACGCTCCGCACACCTCGTCCCTCTTTCTGTCATGTTACCACTCGTGCTAGTACTTCCACCGGTCCTCCTCCCCTTCTCCCTCCCCCTCAGGTATCCCCCTCCCCTACTTCACTTCCCTCCTCCCTCCCCACTTCCTCCTCCACCCCCTCCCCCTCCTCCTCCACTACCCTCTCCCACCCAGCAGTCATTCTGCATCACAGAATCGGCCATCCCAACTTCACCGCACTTCGCACCACTGTCACCTCTCGCCTCCTTCACAGCCTTCCTCCCACCTTACCTCCCCTCCCCTCCTCTCCTGCCCCCCCCATGCCCATCATGCATTCATGGCAAGCTTAAGCAATCCCCCCATCACAGCCATCCCACATTTGCTGCCGCCCACATTGACCTTGTCCACATGGATCTCTGGGGTCCCTATCCCATCCGCTCCCGTCAGGGGCACCGGTACATGCTCGTCCTCGTTGACGACCACAGTCGGTACTCCACTGTCTTTTTCCTCCACACCAAAGATCAGGTGCCGGCTGTTGTCATCAACTGGGCTGAGCAGTGCCGCAATCACTTCAAACGCCCCATTGGCCGCCTTCACTCTGACGGTGGGGGTGAGTTCATCAACAACACCCTTGCTACCTTGTGCAAACTTCATGGCATCCAGCAAACTTCCACCCTCCCCCACTCCCCTCAGCAAAATGGCATTGCTGAGAGCCGCATCCGCGAAATCACCAAAATTGCCCATTGCCTCATTGCTCACGCCTCCACCCCTCCCTCCCTTTGGAGCTATGCCCTTCTCCATGCCGCCCTCCTCCTCAATCTCCGCTCCCACCCTCAGCATCCCTCCTCTTCCCCCACAGAACTCTGGTCTAAGGCCAAGCCTGACGCTGCCGGCCTTCGCGTTTGGGGCTGCAAGTCCTTCGTCCTCATCCCACCGGCCGATCGCTCTCGTGCCGCCGGCAAGCTCGCCCCCCGTGCCCTTGAGTGCGTCTACCTCGGGCACAATCGCGACTCCCCAGGCTACCTGTTCCTCCACCCTCCCACCAACCGCCTCATCCGCAGCATTGACGTCGTCTTCGACGAGTCCATCCCCTACTACTCCACCCCTCCTCCTGACCCTCTCCCTCCTCCTTCTCGCCCCCTCGCCTGGACTGACACTGTCCTCCCACCTCTCCTCCCCCCCGTTGCCGCTCCACTCCCTCCGTCCTCCTCTGCTGACGTCTATGACCCCGCCGCACCCGCCTCCCCGGCCCACTCTGCTGCGCCCCCTCCCCTCTCTCCATCCTCCTCTCACTCCCCCCCTTCTCTGCAACGGCCGGGCCAGCAGCAGCAGCAGCAGCAGCGGCAGCCGGGACAGCAGACGGGCCAGCAGCAGCAGCAGCAGCAGCGGCAGCCGGGGCAGCAGCAGGGACAGCAGCAGCAGCAGCAACCGCCGGGGCAGCAACAGCAGTAGCCGGGTCAGCAGTAGCAGCAGCAGCAGCAGCCGGGTCAGCAGCAGCAGCAGCAGCAGCAGCAGCAGCAGCCGACTCCGCCGCAGGAGCAGCAGCAGCAGCAGCAGGTCCAGCAGCAGCAGCAGCAGCAGCAGCAGCGCCACCGAGCAACTTCCCGCTCCTCCCATTTCCTCCTCCCTCGCATGCACACTCGCTCCCTTGACAAGGTCTTTGGAGCCCCTCCTCCCGCCTCCATTCAGCTCCTTGAGGACTCCCATGCGGAGTTCCTCCACATTCGGCACCACACTCTTTTTCTTGCCTCCATCTTTCATGACTTCCTTGGCCTTCCCATCCTTGGCGCCACCTCCACCCCCACCATCTTCACTCCCTCCACCTTTAAAGAGGCCATCGCCTGCCCTGATGCGGACAGGTGGATTGCGGCTATCTTCCTGGAGTGTGAGGCCTTCATTCGCAACGACTCCTTCACTGATGTCCCCCTCCCGGCCGATGCCAACCTTGTCGAGGGCAAGTGGGTCTTTCGGGTGAAGCAGCTGCCCGGCGAAGATCCGGTCTACAAGGCCCGCTATTGCGCTAAGGGGTTCACCCAGAATTGGGCTGAGGACTACTGGTTCACCTACGCCCCCACCGCCAAGCCACCCACCCTCCGCACCCTCCTCGACGTTGGTGCGCGCGACGACATGGAGATCTGTTCCATGGACGTCTCCAATGCGTTCCTGCAAGGGAACCTGCACGAGCGCATCTTCCTCCGGCGACCCCCCGGGTTCCACGCCGCCTTTCCAGAAAACACTGTGTGGCAGCTGCGTCGACCTGTCTACGGTCTGAAGCACGCACCTCGGGAGTGGCACGCGAAGCTGTCTGCCACCCTGGGATCCCTTGGCTTCTGTGCCTCGCATTCTGACGCCAGTCTCTTCCTTCGCTCCTCCCCTCGCCGCTTCTTCATTCTGGCGTATGTGGATGACATGATCCTGCTCGCTGACTCCAAGACTGACATGGAGCAGATGAAGCAGCAGCTGCAGCAGCGCCTCAAGTGCAAGGACCTGGGCGACCTCACCCACTACCTTGGCATGGCTATCACTCGCGACCGTCCAGCTCGCACCATCACCCTCTCCCAGTCTCATTACATCGGCCAAATCTTGGAGAAATTCGAGATGACTCAGGCCAGTCCCATAGCCACCCCCCTCGCTTTCGGCCACCAGCTTGCTCCACCCACCTCGCCCTCCTCCTCCTCTCACCCTTATGCTGAGCTCGTTGGGTCGCTGATGTACGCTATGATGTGCACCCGTCCCGACCTCGCCTACCCCATCAGTGTGCTCGCTCGCTTCGTTGGCCCTGGTCGCCACACCGAGGTGCACTGGAAGGCTGCTAAGCGGGTCCTCCGCTACCTTCGCGGCACCAAGGACCACGCTCTCACTCTTGGTGGCTCCTCCCCTCCCCTCCTTTCGGGCTTTAGCGACTCCTCCTGGGCCGACTCGCAGCTTGACCGCCGCTCCTCTCAAGGCTACGGCTTCTCCCTCGGCTGCGGCCTTGTTAGCTGGCGCTCCACTCGCTCCTCCTCCGTTTCCCTCTCCTCCTGCGAGGCTGAGCTCTACGCTGGCACCATGGCCGCCCAGGAGTCCCGCTGGCTCTGCTTTCTTCTTGCTGAGCTTGGCGCCCCTCAGCCCTGCCCCACCCTCTGGTGTGACAACGCCAGCACCATCCACCTCACTCAAGACCCTGTCTACCACGCTCGCTCCAAGCACATCGAACTACGCTACTTCTTCATCCGCGAGCTCGTCCAGCGCGGCCTTCTTGCTGTCCGCAAGATTGCTGCCGAGGCCAACTTGGCCGACATCTTCACCAAGGCTCTTCTTCGCCCTGCGCACTCTGCTCTCCTCCGCCTCATCGGACTTGCTCGCCCGGGCGCCCCCTGATTCAGGGGTTGCTCCCTTCCTGTGTTAGCCTGCTAAGGGGTTGTGTTAGACTTGCCATATTCTAGCATGCTAACACTTGTGACTGTACACCAATTGTGGTGTACAGTTGGGTTGGGACTACACCCAACTTTGGGTGTAGTCTTGCATTTTGGGGTGCCAATCCAACCCAATTGTGGTGGAGCCCCCAAATGCAACCCATTGGGCCATAGGTTGGCCCACTCTCACAAAGTGAGGCCAACCCAACCCAACGGGCCATAGGTTGGCCCACTCTCACAAAGTGAGGCCAACCCAACCCAATGGGCCATAGGTTGGCCCACTCCCCCAAGTGTGGCCAACCCAACCCAATGGGCCATAGGTTGGCCCACTCCCCCATTCCCACCTCCCTCCTTTCCCTTCCAACCCTCTCTTCCCAAAGCTATGTATGCTTGCCAAATCTTCTAATCAAACTAATGCTTGAGTTTCCATTCTTCACAATACCCACTTACTTGGTCCTGCGGGTTGCTCTCCAGCAGGTCAGAATACACCTTGTCCGCCTGATCCCACCACCCCTTCGCCTCCAGCCACATGCCCTCCAACCGCCCTGCACCCCACACAAGAACAGAGGAGATCAGGGGAGAGCAGAGAAGAGGAGAGGAAAGGAGAGGAGAGGACAGGAGAGCAGAGGAGAGGAGAGCAGAGCACCCAGTGCAGGGTCCAAGTCAGAACAAGCCTGCCTACACCTCTGTGAGAGGATCACATCCCCGCTGTGTGCAATAGCAGGCTCTGCTGTCTCCAGGCCTTACAGAACTTCAAAGTCGTCACGAAACTAGAGGGACAGTGAGCCAGCGAGGTCATGAGCGTTACACGCAAAGTGGCAAGGACCAAGCGAGGGTGGCCGAGCGGTGTGAAGTGGTGAAGTGCAGAGCAGGTGGTGCAGAGGGGTTTGGTGTGGTGAAACAAACAGACCAAAGGTGCTGGTGCATTGAACTGCGGTGGTGAGCAGTGAGCAGTGAGCAGTGAGCAGTGAGCAGTGAGCAGTGAGCAGTGAGCAGTGAGCAGTGAGCAGTGAGCAGTGAGCAGTGAGCAGTGAGCAGTGAGCAGTGAGCAGTGAGCAGTGAGCAGTGAGCAGTGAGCAGTGAGCAGTGAGCAGTGAGCAGTGAGCAGTGAGCAGTGAGCAGTGAGCAGTGAGCAGTGAGCAGTGAGCAGTGAGCAGTGAGCAGTGAGCAGTGAGCAGTGAGCAGTGAGCAGTGAGCAGTGAGCAGTGAGCAGTGAGCAGTGAGCAGTGAGCAGTGAGCAGTGAGCAGTGAGCAGTGAGCAGTGAGCAGTGAGCAGTGAGCAGTGAGCAGTGAGCAGTGAGCAGTGAGCAGTGAGCAGTGAGCATTGGCATTAGCAGTGAGCAGTGAGCAGTGAGCAGTGAGCAGTGAGCAGTGAGCAGTGAGCAGTGAGCAGTGAGCAGTGAGCAGTGAGCAGTGAGCAGTGAGCAGTGAGCAGTGAGCATGAGTGAGCAGTGAGCAGTGAGCAGTGAGCAGTGAGCAGTGAGCAGTGAGCAGTGAGCAGTGAGCAGTGAGCAGTGAGCAGTGAGCAGTGAGCAGTGAGCAGTGAGCAGTGAGCAGTGAGCAGTGAGCAGTGAGCAGTGAGCAGTGAGCAGTGAGCAGTGAGCAGTGAGCAGTGAGCAGTGAGCAGTGAGCAGTGAGCAGTGAGCAGTGAGCAGTGAGCAGTGACGAGTCTCACTCACCCACGCGACTGCTGTTGGGGAATGCAATCATGAGGGCTCCTATGCACTCCTGCCATGCACACCACACCATGTGAATACCAGTGCGGTTTGCATGGTAGACAGCAATCACGAAAGTGCCTCTGATGCAACAATCTGGTGACACTAATGCCCTGCCCCACACCTGATGCTTGCAGCGGCCCAGCTAGGGGCGGGACTAAAGTGCCACTTTCTGGTCTATTCAACTCAGAACCCAGCTAGAGGCGGGAATGGCACTCCAGCTCCTTGCAACGGAAACTCCATCACATGACATGTCCGCTTCTCCCCAGCCGATGCCCCCCATGCACACCGCCCCAATGCCCCCCTCCCAGTGGCCTCTTCCCATGGCGCCCCCTCCAAGTCCCCCTCTCCTGCGAATACCCCACCCTGCCCTCCTCCCTCTCCCCACTCCCCCCCCCCTCCCCCCCCCACTTTGGCGATGCCCAGCTCCTGGCAGTCCACGTGGCACCTGAACACACTCCCCATAAAATCTTCACCGTGGCCCTTTCCCCTTCCAATGCCCCACCATGCCCCCCACTCCCAGTGCCCTACCCTGCCCTCCTCCCCCCCCCTCTCTCACCTTGGCAATGCCCAGCTGTTGGCAGTCCATCTGACCTGCTGCTTACGACACGCAATTTCCCCATGGCACCCTTACCCAAGTCCCCCTCCCCATGCCCCACCCTCCTCTTCTCCTCCTCCCCGCCTCACCTTGGCGTACCCAGCTGCTGGCAGTCCAAGTGACACCTTCTCCTCGCAACACACTTCCAAGACATCCTTACCTAGGCGCCCCCCCTCACACACTCCTCCCGATTCCCCACCATCCCTTCACCCCCTCCTCCCCTCCCCCGCCTCACCTAGGCGATGCCCAGCTGCTGGCAGTTCAAGTGGCACCTGCTCCTCGCAACGCACTCCCCATGCGACCCTTACCTATGCCCCCGTCCACATGGCAGCTGCTGGCTGGCAGTGCATGGCCGCGATCGCCACCTGCTCCTTGCAGCAACACACCCACGGAATCCGTACTATACCCCCCTTCCACATGCCCCCTTCCACATGCCCCCTTCCACATGCCCCCTTCCACATGCCCCCTTCCACATGACCCCCTCCACATGCCCCCCTCCACATGCCCCCCTCCACATGCCCCCCTCCACATGCCCTATCCTGCTCTCATTCTCTCCCTCCCCCGCCTCACCTTGGCGATGCCCAGCTGCTGGCAGTCCATGGCAGCAATCGCCACCTGCTCCATCACATCCCACACTGCCCACGGTGCAGTGCGGTGCAGCGCGGTGCCACGCATCGAAACACGGTGCAGGGCGGGACAAAGGGATGTGGCACAGTGGAATGTGGCACGGCGAAAGAATATGAAGGTCGGCACATACATCAGCACGCAGGGCGAAAGGCAAGACGGGGGGAGAATGCAGAATGGCAGGAAATGAGGCGCAGCAGGCAAGGAAGGCACCATCTTATGAGACCAACTCCACTTTTCTCTCTACTGCAAGTCCGAACCCTCTCTGTAGTAATACCCCTCATAAGCATCCTCACCTTCGTCTCCCAGCTTCACCCTCTATTCCGCGGTCTTAATAAGCACCATGTCATACTCCGTACAATCACCCTCTCGTACCCCTTATAAGCCTCCTCATCTTCACCTCCCAGCTTTCTCCGCTCATCCGTGCCGTTGATAAGCGCTATGCCATACTCCTTATAAACACCCCTCCTTCTAAGCCTCCTCACCTTCGTCCCCCAGCTTGCTCCTCTCATCCGCACTATTTATGAGCGCCATGCCATACTCCTTATAAGCCTCCTCACCTTCATCTCCCAGCTTGCTCCGCTCATCTGCACTGTTAATCAGCGCCATGCCATACTCCGCCACTTGAAACGGCCGCCGCAGCCGCAGCCGCCGCACCTCCCGCAGATATTTGGCGCATGTCTTGGGGGAGGATGGGGAGATGAGGATCGGGAGAGGGGGATGGGGAGAGGGGGTGAGGAGAGGGGCAAGGAGGGAGGGCAAGGCCTTCAGCACACAGCCACCGCACCTCACGCAGGTACTTGGCGCATGGCTGGGAGGTGGGGGAAAGGAGGTGGGGAGAGGGGGTGGGGAGAGGGGATGGGGAGAGGGGGTGGGGAGAGGGGGTGCGGAGAGGGTATGGGGAGAGGGGGTGGGGAGAGGGGTTGGGGAGAGGGCGTGCGGGAGGGAAGAGGGTGCGGCTGAGAGGCATGAAGCTCGCGGTCACCACACCTCGCGCGATTGCTGGGCGCATGTGGGAGGGACAGGGGGTGCGGGACGAAAGGAGGAGGAGAGAGGAGAGGGGAATGCGCGGATCCGCCAATCCTGGACTGCGCGCCGAGAAGACAACAGCATCTATATAAAAACATCCCTCCTCCCAAAAAATAAGCAACAAACTAGTTCGGAATGTCGCTATTCCGCACGGATTCGGCGAACAAGCTAAGCGAGCGATCGCCCCGAGCGTACCTCGGGACCTCCGCCGCGTTTACCGGCGATCGGCTTTAATTGTCTTTCTAGAGACTCTAAGTCCTTCAGCTCCTGAGCGGAGATCATGGTGGTGGTTGCGAGGAGTGGTAATCGGTATAAATGTGCGTTGAGGAGTGAATCTGGGAAGTGGAGCAACAGGATAGACTGGCACTCCCTTGCAGGAACAGGTTGTGAACTGTACTCAACACGAACGACTGTTTCATGCCACGCCGCAACGCTAAGTGCCTTTGAGTGATTCGAAACAAGACGCGAAAAAACAATCCCAGGTGCACTCGCGACATTGACGAAATTACGGTTTCCCGGTCGTGTTAGATCGGGTGGAATATCGTTTTCGCAAGGTGCTTGCCACAGTTCGCACAAGGGAGAAAACAGAGTTCCGAACATTGTTGTTCGTCCACTTTTCATCGCGTTCATACTGGAAAGCAGTTACCACTGGCGACCAAGGTTCGCGATTTTTTTGGAACAAGCACTCTTTGACGACCCGCTGAATGTTTTAGTTCGTTACAAGTTTCACCTTAAGTTGGAAAACTACATGATTTCTGTCACGAGAGGTGCCAATCTCCATCCCATTTCCTGCAACCCTTGCAGATGACACACGATTTACGAACGTGCTGCTGTGACTTTTGAACACCCCCATTTGGCCAAATTACTCTCTAGGGCACGCGGCGTGACTAGAATCCGTGTTCGCCTCCACGCGAGACACGGGCACGGCTCTGATCCGTTACAAGCTGCTGCGGCAATAACCTAACACCTTGCTGCTTCGCGAGGAGCGCCTAGCGCGGGAGGAGTAACTTTGTTACTGGATAACGAGCTGGGCACGTTAGTCAACGAAGTGGGCAGCTCAATCGTGAGGTGATTCCTCTCCTCACTCCGAAGCTTATGCCCTTAGGGATTGTTCCGCGATGGCCCTCGTCACCGTGATGTGTTCCGCTGCGGTCTCCCCTCCCCTCGCTTCCACTCATCCCCATGACGACAGGGAACACCCCTGTCGCAAATGATCGCTGCATTCGGGCACATCCTGAATTCGTTCAAAGCGCTCCTCCAACGCTCCCAACGTCGCTCCCTCGGCCCCTCCTCCCCTGCCCCGCCTCAACCCACCGCCGCCCCTCCCCTCCCTCCTCCCCCTCCTCTCTCCCCCACACCCCCACCCCATCCAGCCAGCATGCGGGCGTGGCACTGTCGGACGAATTCCAATAATTTCCGAAAAGTATCCCAGATGACAACCCTATTTTAGAAAAATTATCCCTAAACCAAGTTTATTCCATAACACATCACTATCCCAGAACCCCTCCCCGCCCCCCCATGCGCTGTAACCCGCCAACAGACGCGCATCACCAGGATTTGGAAGAACCTAGTCAGCGTGTCTAATCGGTAGTGTCTCACTTTGCAGGCCTCCTTCCACCACCACCCCCTTCCCTTTCCTGGCCTCGCTCCCTTCCCCTCTTCCCGCCCCACATCCCTCCAGGCAGCATGCAACAGCAGAGCATACATACACGGAGGAGCATTGGGAGAAGCAGAAGAGCCTCGTGAGCTATCCCAACCTCCCTTCTCGCCCCTGCATGCAATTTTTCGGGCTTCTCTGTGCCTGACAGCCAAATAGAAGAGTCTGACGTTCTATCGTGCATCCCTGCACCCACCCCGCTTCCCTTCCCCACCTTCCCTCCCTCCCCTCTCCCCCCAGCCCCTCCAGACAGCGTGCAGTGCATGAGAGGGGGAGCTCCGGGGAAAAGCAGAGACCCCAATGAACCATCATCCCAAAGTTCCTGCTTGCCCCCACGTCGCTTTTCTCCCCTCCCACTCCCCCTCCCCCCTCCTCCTCCCCCTCCCCGTCCCCCTCCCCCTCCCCGTCCCCCTCCCCCTCCCCCTCCCGCTCCCCCTCCCCCTCGCCCTCCGCCCATCCAGGCAGCATGCAGAGCGTGGACGAGCTCCGGGAGAACTTGAACACTTACAGGGAGCAGCTAGAGCAGGTGAGAGCACGTACAGGGAGCAGCTAGAGCAGGTGAGAGCAGCTGATCAGCTGAAGCAGAGGTGCGCATATGGAGAGGAGAGAGCAGTTCTGATCGTAGGTCGATGACACGGTACAGGGAGCAGCTAGAGCAGGTGAGAATTATCAATTGTGCAGGGGGGAGAATGAAGGGAAGAAACTGTGGGTGTGGGAGCAGAAGCAAGGTGATTGATTGGCTGCCTCCTTGTTTACGTATTCCTGCGGACGCACCCCGTCTTTGCTGGTCCATGCGCCTTTCTCAGTCAATCCTCCCAAACCCTTTTGTTTTTTTGCTTGTTTCTCTGAAAACCGCCAAGCCATCTTCTCCTTTTGGTCCTTCCAATGCGCTCAACTGCCCCCCATAACAGGTCTCGGAGTTGCTTATAGAGGATCCTGACAATGACGAGTACAAGGAGATGGCCAGTGGGCTCAAGGAGGTGAGGTTGCTTCCCTTCCGACACACTTACGTAACACCTCTTTTCTCACACCTGCTGCTCGCATGGCTCAGCACTTCATATTTAACTAAGTGTCAGCCACTACCTGCTTGCATGATTTCATTCGCTACAGGGCCAGTCAGCTCAGCACCCGCTGCTGTATCATCACTCTATAAGCACTTGACTAAGCCCAATCTTCATTCTCGTTGTTGAATCCAGTCACTCCACTTACCCTTCCACGCAGTTTTCCCCCCTCTCCTAGTCCAGGCCACAAAGGCACAAACTCCACACCGCACACACTTGACACACACACTTGACACACACACACCCCACCCACACACACGCCTCATCCTGTCCCCATCCTCCCCCCTCCCTGTCAGGTCATCGAGCTCACAGAGGACCTGCTGAGTGCAGCAGAGGGACAGGAGGAGCTGCCACGCACACTCTGCACACACCTCATTCCACCCCACTCAATCCTCCCTCTCTCCCCTCCCCCACCCTTCCCCACCAGGTCATCGAACTCACAGAGGACCTGCTGAGTGCAGCGGAGCAACAGACGCAGATACAGCAGTGAGCGAGTGCAGTTACAACTCATTCCACCTCCCTCCATCCTCCCTCACTCCCCTCCCACCCACCAGGTCATCGAGCTCACAGAGGACCTGCTGAGTGCAGCGGAGCAGCAGACGCAGGAGGAGCCACCACCAGGAGGAGATGCAGAAGCAGCGGCAGTTGCCGCTCCCTTCATTCCCATGGCGTTTGTGCCGGCCACTTCTGCTGCTGTGAGTTCCTTCAGTTCAGTATGCCCTTTTGAGAATTCTCAAAGGAACATCTTATCTCACTCACCACGTGCGCCGCATTGCACTCCTTTGCACCACAGTGAATTCCAGATCATCATCCTTTTAGAGTACCTGCTGCACCTCCCGTGACAAGCCCTTTATCAGTCATTTTGAGAATTCTCAGAAGCTCCTCCCTCCCTTTTTCATCCATCCCTCACTTACCCACAGTAGTCCCAATCCAGTGTGCCGTGTGTTAATGTTAGCCCTCAATCTCACATTTGTACTTGTACTTTTTATATCCTAGTTTAGTTTAGTGTAGTTTGCACTTTGTGTTTGGTTGGTGTACACCCACATCCCAACCAAACCCAAATGTGATCTCCAAGCAATCTCCAACCCACCAATTGGAGATTGCCTTGGGATTACCCCCAATTCCCTAGGATTGCCCCCGATTCTCTCCCCACTCTTACCTTGCCCATTTCCAATGTACTTAAAGAGCCTTGAGCTCATTACTAATGCATGGATTCTAAGCTCAAGTTCTAACATGGTATCAGAGCGATTAACCGCACACGCGTATCGTGATCCTCCTATCTCAACGGGCTCCTGTCCCGCTTTCTTCGGCGTAGCCGCCATCAATCCCGTCGCCGGTGATTCACGACTTCTTTGGCCGGAAATTATCCCGCGCCACTCTCCCTTTCTTCTCGACGACTTTCGCAACTTCTCTGGTAAGCACATCGTCGGTGCTTTAACCAATCGCATTTTTTCGTCAATCGTCTTCGCTCCATTTCTTCTCGTCGGGCCGCCGCCTGTCGCCCTGCAACTTCTCGTCGGGCCGCCGCCCGTCGCCCTGCATCTTCTCGTCGGGCTGCCGCCCGTCGCCCCGCAACGGCACTCCGCAGCTGAACAGGTGCAGCCACGAAGCTGAGCAGCCGTGTAGCAGCGAGGCTGAGTAGCAGCGTAGCAGCGAAGCTGAGGGTGGTGTGTGGGGGGGTGTGTGGGAATAGGGTTAGCTACCGAAATCGGCCGATTTGACCCACTTTCATCGGCCTTAAAATTCCTTCTAAGAGACATTCCGAAGCGGCCGATATTGAAGCTTTTCACTCGTCGCGTCCCTAAGATTTTTTACTTCGGAAACCATAAACCTCACAATTCTCTTTCGTAAACCCTAAACCCCAAGTTCTTCAAGTTCTCCTTCGAAAACCCTAAACCTCAAGTTCCTATTGGTGACTCAAGAGCGGCGCTTCACGCGAGACCTAAAGAGTTCTTCGCCATGGGCTTCGCCTCGGCCAGTCTCGCCAACCCCATCACCCCGCTCCGCCTTGAAGCCGACGGCACTAGCTCCAACTTCAAGGCATGGAGCTACGGGGTTGACAAGCTCCTCCTAAGTCGTGAAGTAGGTGGACTTGACCTCAAGGACGTTCTTCTCAATCATGGCAAGGGAAAACAGCCCCCCATCCACAAGGAGCCGTCCGATCCAACCGATGCTGTGGCAACCCAGGAGTATGAGGACTCTGTTGCCAAGTACCGCAAGCGGGAGAAGGCCGATGCAGCTATCATTAGCATCTTCATCGGCTCCACTCCTCCCGAACTTGTCAACACGTTCCACAACTACCCCACTTCCAACGCCATTTGGAAGCATCTCCAGGACAGGTTCATGAATAAGACGGCGGTCGAGGTGGTCATTCCTAGTATGTTTCAAGTCCGTCTTTAGGATTGCCTGGGTATGGCCGACTACATCGCCAAGGTGCAAACCATCCATGGCGAGCTTAAGGAGCTGGGTATCATCTTCCCCGAACAAGCTCCTGCGGCCGCCCTTCTTGTTGGCCTCACCTCGGCATACTAACTCACAAGAAAAATGCTCCTCACATCCTCGGCGGAAGACCTCACCTTTGCTAAGGTCTCTTCCGCCCTCCTCTCCGTCGAGAAAGAATCCTCGGCCCAAGCCAAGACCTACGCCCTCCGTGCTTCCGTGCCTCAAGCAAGTGTCGCATCGGCACTCGTGTCGGCCCCCTTTCAGCGCAACCGCTTCCCTCCATGCACCTACATCGTCAAGTATGGCAATCGCAAGGGACAAGTGTGTGGTGGCACTAACCAGCCCCTCGCCACGTGCTTCAAGAAGAAAGACGACGAATGGTATGCCATCCATGGAGTCGACAAGAAGCCGCCGAATTGGATGCGTCCTCGTAAGCCCAACGTAGTTGAGGCACAGGACTTCGCTCAGGCTAGTGCTAGTGATAGTGCTCCTGCTGAGGTGCGCATCAACTTGTTCTTCCCTGGCACTGCCATGATGAATGAAGCAACTTCGCAGTACATCGGCTCATCACAGGCACCACAATACATAGAATTCACACTCGACAGCGGGGCCACTCACATTGTGCTCAAGGAGACACTCTCTTTCAAACCGTATGCAACACGCATTCCTCTCCTAGGAGCTGATTCAAGCTTCACCACTCTTGCCAAGGGTTCGTCCACAATCCCATGCCTTCCCATCCGGCACTATCACTGGCATGTGCGTGCCTTCACTACGCCACAATCTAGTGGCTCAAAAAGAAATTCAGGAGGCGGGGTCACGCACCATCTTCTCGGAGAACGAGGACTATTGTGACATCATCGACCCACTCACCAACAAGGTCTTGGCTCGCTTCACCCTCAATAGCAGCGGCCTTTACACGCTGCGAATACCTACCCCACAGGTGTCAACCACCCAAGCACAGGCTGCTATCACACCATGCTCATGTCGCAGCTTCTCCAACCCGACCATCCTGTACCACCATCGGCTCGGGCACCCAAACTTCCGCACGCTTGCTGACATGGCTCAAAGAAGTTTTTTCTCGGCCTGCCAGCCTCACTTCCTCCACCACTTGACTCGCCCGCTCCCACGTGCCAAGAGCAAGCTACGCCAACAGCCCCACCCTTCTTCACCCTCAGTAGCAGCAGCCCCACTGGACCTAGTGCATATGGACGTCTGGGGCCCTGCCCCGGTGGCCGCACGAGGTGGCCATCGCTATTTCCTTCTGGTTGTTGCTGACCACACTCGCTACGCCTCTGTGCACCTCCTCCACACTAAGGCTGAGGCCCCGGAGGCAATCATTGTCAACGGGAGTTGTGTTTGGCCCCGTCCTTGCTTGGGCGGAGCCGACTTCGTAGTCGGGTGTGCGGGAGGTACAGCCGACCTGTAGCAGTGGGGCTGGTCGATCTGCACGGGGGCCACTGCAAGGGCGCCGACTTCGGGAGGTCGACTTGGGAGGTCGACCTGTGGAGGGCATCGACTTGGTGACGCCGACTTGGGGACGCCGTCTTGGGTGGTCGGTTGATAGGTGTGCTGGTCGACCTGGGGCTGGTCGACCAGGCCAGGTGCGCGGTCGACTTCGTGTGGTCGACCAGGGGTGGTCGTCGACCTGGGTGGTAGACGGGCACAAGGAGGGGCTGGTCGATGTGGTGGTTGCCCGGTCGACCAGGTTACCCGGGCGACGGGTTTCTGCGGAGACACGGGACGGTCGCCCAGGGGTTCGTGGCGAGGTCGACCTCGGTGTGGTATCTCGAGGTCGATGTGGCTGATCAGGGTGCAGTCGTCGGCACGAGAACGATTTTGTGTGTGCGCTGTGCAGGTGACGAGGCACAGCACGCCAATCATCTGCGAGCACCTGCGAAGCAGGTGCGCTGCTGTCCTGCGGGTGCAACGTTGGCACGCCGTCGACTTGCAGCGTTGGCGGGCCGCGACTTTGTACTGCTGGAGTGCGGTCGACCATGCCGTGCTGAAATGTGGTCGACCGTGTTGCGCTGGTAGTCGACCGACTTGCATGCTAGCTCTCATGTAGTCAGCCTTGCCAACTTTGTTGTGATCATTCTGAACTTTCGTGTTGTGAACTCTTGCTAGTGAAACTCTTGCCGGATTTCCCCGTGAATGCGCAAGTAGTGTGAGCACGAGTTAACGACTAAAGAATAAACGAACGCAGAGGTCACTCTAGCCCCGTGCTGAGCCCGTAGTCTAGCTCCCGTTGATTAAGCTATCTCCGTAATCATGGCATGGGTTAATCAGGCACATACTTCCTTTGACACCAAGGTCAAGCGTTTCCATTCGGATGGTGGTGGTGAATTTTGCAACGACAAGCTCAAAGCCTTCTGCTCCTCCCTTGGCATCCTGCAAAACTTCACCCTTCCTAACAGCCCGCAGCAGAACTGCATAGCAGAGAGCCGCAATCACACACTGGCGCAGATCACTCGCTGCCTCCTCAGCCACTCCAACGCACCACTCTCACTCTAGGGGTACGCCCTCTATCATGCCGCCCTCCTCTACAACCTCTACCCCCACCCGCATCTTCCCGACACCACTCCCACCACACTCTGGCTCAGGAAAACACCCACTGCTCGCCCCCTTCGCGTCTGGGGGTGCACCGCCTATGTACTCAACCCCCAGGCTTGGCGGCGGCAAGGTGGTAAGCTTGGTCCCAAAACTCAAACGTGCATATACCTTGGACATAACGCTGACTCCCCTGACTACCGTTTCCTCAATCCCTCCACTCAACAACTCGTCCGGAGCCAAGATGTTGTCTTTGATGAGACTCGCCCCTTCTACTCCACCTCGGGGGGGGGATCCCCCCTCCGGACCACCCTCTCTTGTGTGGGCTGACTTTGATGCGCCTTCTGAACCTCCGCCTGCACCAGCCCCCTCACCTCATGCTTCTCCTGGCATCGCACCATCCCCGTCCGGTGTCCTCGGCAGCTGCTCCTTCATCCCCCCCTTCTGCCACTCTGCCAACTGCGCCCCCACCACCAAGCGCACCAATCACATACCATCGGCGGTCGAACCCTCCCGCCCCACCTCCTCCCCCTGTTCCCTCCTCCACTCAGGAACCTGCTCTTCCACTGCCGAACAAACTAATCACGTACCAACGACGGCCGATCCCTCCCCCCAAGCCTCCTAAACCGTCCCCTCCAGCCACGCCTGCTCCACCCTCTTCTCCGGTGGCTCATGGCACTCGGTCGCATGGGGCTGCTCCTCCACTAGCACTTGCCATTCGATGCTTAGTGATCACTCCGACTCCTCCTGCTAGGGGAGATGTGCCCTCTACCCTTCTGGAAGACAGGCATGAGGAGCTGTGTGATCTCCACGGTGTCATTCCTCAGCTCTCGCACATCTTCCCCGATATCACAGAATCACCCTCGCTCAACTTCTTGGAGAACCCGACGATCCCCATCCCTCTCACCGTCCAAGAGGCTCTTTCGGGCCCCCATGCTGCCGAGTGGCGCGCTGCCATGGAAGCTGAGAGTGAAGCCTTCATTCGCAACCACTCCTTCGACGACGAAGCTCCACCTCCAGGAGTTAACATCGTTGGCGGCAAGTGGTTGTTTCGAGTGAAGCAACTTCCAGACGAGGCCCCAGTGTTCAAAGCACGCTATGTGGCCGAGGGATTCACTGAGCAGCAGTACTTTGACTTCTTCAAAACCTTCTCTCCCACATCCAAACCACCCACAGTTCGCACGCTCTTGGATGTAGCCGCACGAGACGACTTTGAGATCAAATCCATGGACGCCTCTTCAGCATTCCTGCAAGGACACCTCAAGGAGACTGTGTTTATGGACCGACCTGAAGGCTTTCCAAAAGAGTTCCCTTCCAACACTGCTTGGAAGCTGAATCGCCCTGTTTACAGCCTCAAACAAGCCCCTCGTGAATGGCACAATAAAGTGAAAGAAGTCCTCTCCTTGGATTTTCACCCATCATCTGCTGACCCGACTCTCTTCATTCGCCGTCACTTTGAGCCATTCTACATCCTTGTCTACGTCGATGACTTCATCCTTGTTGCCAAGGACTCGGCTCAGATGACCTTTGTCCAGGAGGCCATGAGCAAAGCCCTCCTGATGAAAGACCTTGGTGACCTCAAGCATTATCTGGGGATGGAGATCACTCGTGATCGCCAGGCTCGCACCATCTCACTCTCCCAGGAGTTCTACATCAACAATGTACTCAAGCGCTTCGAGATGGAGCTGTGCACACCCATGGCCACCGCTCTACCACTGCAGCACCTCCTCACAGCTCCAGCTGTTCCCACACCGAAGGCCTGCTCCGAGCCATACCCAGAGCTTGTTGGGTCCCTCATGTACGCCATGATGTGCACCCGTCCTAACCTGGCATACCCTGTCAGTGTCCTCTCTCGCTATGTGGCTCCTGGACGCTTCACTGACCTTCACTGGAAAGCGGCAAAGCGGGTGCTGCGCTATCTGCAGGGAACCAAGTCTCATGTCCTCACCCTTGGTGGGGTTTCTCCTGCTTGATTGGAAGGTTACACAGACTCCTCCTGGGCTGATGACCAGACCGACCGACGCTCCTCCCAAGGCTACTGCTTCACCCTTGGGAGCGAAATTGTCAGCTGGCGCTCCACTTGGTAGTCTGCAGCCTCCCTCTCCTCGTGTGAGGCAGAGCTCTATGCTAGCACCATGGCGGCTCTGGAGGCCCGCTGGCTCACCTTCCTACTCCAGGAGCTTGGCTACCCTCAGCCCACTCCCACCCTCTGGTGTGAAAACAAGAGCACCGTCCAACTCTCCCAAGATCCAGTGTACCACACTCGCACCAAGCACATCGAACTTCGGCACTTCTTCATGCGTGACCTTGTCCAGCGGGAGCAACTCAATGTGGAGTATGTGGCTTCTGACTGCAACTTGGCTGATCTGTTCACCAAGCCCCTTGGGAAGGTTCCTCACCATCGCCTTCTAGGCGCCATGGGGCTCTGCGCCCCACCTTCTCTGCCATGAGTTCGATTGATGCCTATGGGGGGGTGTTAATGTTAGCCCTCAATCTCACATTTGTACTTGTACTTTTTTTATATCCTAGTTTAGTGTAGTTTGCACTTTGTGTTTGGTTGGGTGTACACCCACATCCCAACCAAACCCGAATGTGATCTCCAAGCAATCTCCAACCCACCAATTCTCTCCCCACCCTTACCTTGCCCAATTGCAATGTACTTAAAGAGCCTTGAGCTCATTACTGAGCTCAAGTTCTAACACTGTGCCCCCTCCTACAGGCTACAACGTTTTAGCCCTTCCTCTGGAAGAAATATCATTCAGATTTTTTTCTGTACCTGCCCCTCACTTGTCCAGACTTGCCCCGGCCCTGCTCCCTCCCATCCAACCCCATTGCTCTCCAGACCACTGATCCAGCAGCTGTAGCAGCAGCCGCAGCCGCTGCAGCAGCAGCAGGGGGGACAGCAGCAGTGTCGTCTCGGATCGCAGTGGGCGCGTCGGTGCAGGCGGCATGGGGGGTCACTGCCGGCACTGCTGCTGGCGGCATACGCAGCTCTGAGTGGTAAGTGAGTGGGGATGTGAGGTAAGAGGGATGGATGTTAGGGAGGTTGTTGTCAGATAGCAGGCAGTGGAACAAGTATCACGGCATAAGGCTCGTTAAGAGGGTTTTTGCTTTTAAATTCACTTAACAAGCCTTTTGTCGTGAAGCTTGTTCCACTTGGTATCAGAGCCTATTTTTTCCTCGTGAGTTGCTACTGGGTGAATTTTGCACCATGCGCGATTTAGAGCGTGATGCCGTGGTGCGTGAGCTCGTAGCTCAAGAGGTGCAGCCTGCCTTGCTGAAAGTAGCTGCAGAGCAGGGAGTTACTACATCTTCAGAAAGTGCGGTGGAATCTACTTCCCGTGTTAGAGCATCACTGCCGAACCTGTTTGTCCCTGGCAAAGGACAACCAGTGCTGTGGCGACGGCTATTCTTGGTGGACGAATATCTGCGCTTGAGTCACGTGGCTGGAGAGGAGTGGGCGCCGTTCGCTGGAATGCTACTTCGAGGCTCTGCAATCGCATTGTGGCAATCGGTGCGATCTGTCATCCAGACTTGGCAGCAATTCAAAGAAGCTCTTCTTATTGCCTTTGAACCAATCAACGCGATGGCGAAAGCGCTTGATCATCGTGAAAATCGCATAATCATCTTGCGAATCTTGCAGCATCGCATCAACGACCAAGATTCGCAAGATGATCCGCAAATTCTCAAAATGATCATGCGCTTTCGCCATCGCATTGATTGGTTCAAATGCCACAACACGAGCTTCTCTGAATTGCTGCCAAGTCTGGGACGGGTCGCACTGATTGCCACCATTGCAAAGCCTCGGAATAGCGTTCCAGCGAACGGCGCCCACTTCTCTCCAGCCATGTGACTCGAGCACAGATATTCCTCCACCAAGAATGGCCATTGACGCACCACTGGTTTTCCTATGCCAGGGACAAACGGGTCCGGCAGCGATGCTCTAACATGGGAAGTAGATTTTACTGCACTTCCTGAAGCTGTAGCAACTCCCTGCTGTGCAGCTACTTTCTGCACGGCAGCCTGCACCTCTTGAGCTATGAGCTCACGCACCGCGGCATCACGCTTTAAATCGCTCATGGTGCAAAATTCACCCGGCAGCAATTCACGAGGAAAAAATAGGCTCTGACACCAAGTGGAACAAGCTTCACGGCCAGGCTTGTTAAGTGAATTTCAAAACAGAAACTCAAGCCTTTTGCTGTGAAGCTTGTTCCACTAAATTGTCCACTTCCCTCCCTCCCTCCCTGCATTGCTCCCTCCCCTTTCCCCCTGGCCAGGCTTGAGGGCGTGGTGGACAGTGTGACAACAGGAGGCTACGTGGTGCGCGATGCAGGCGGGCAGATGCACGAGGTAAGGCACTTTCACTCTTCTCACTCTCCTCTTACCCTTCTCACTCTCCTCGTACTCCTCTCGTTCACCGAAATACAGCGCACCAGGGTCCGGAACACCCTCTTGATGCACCATTGTGCAAGGTGGACCTCTTGCCTGCTTTCGGGCTTCACCCCAATCTCGACAGCATCAAATCGCTCCTGTAATGTTGATTCTCAATCAGTGTTGGGAATATTGAAAACTGAATACAATCTGGGCAGCATCAGATCTCTCCTGTACGACCTCTTGCAAATGAATGTTTGGACGCCTCGACTCTGCCCCAGCAGCCCTTGCCTCAAGCCTCTGCCTGTTCGTGAGCCAGGTGTGCAGTGCAGCTTTCCTCAAGTTGAAAGTGAATGACACGGGAGGCATGCCTCTCGATGCACCAATTTCTGGTACTCTTGTCTTTCCTACCTCTCTTGCTCACACCACTCACCACTCGGCGGCCCACACACATACTCTACTCGTCCTACAGACACACACCACTCAACCCACCCACACACACAACTCAACCCACCCACACACACCACTCCCCACCCACACTCACACATGCATTTCCCCAGGTGCAGGAGAAAGAGTGAGGCGGGTGTAGGCGAGCGAAGAGGATGCAAGGCGGCACCGTAGGCACACTTAAAGCTCTCCTACCTCTCTTGCTCGCATGCACACACGCTACACACACCTACCACTTGGCACACACACACCACGCAATCCCCCAGGTGCAAGAGACGAGAGTACGGCGGGTGGAGGAGAGTGAGGAGGATGCAAGGAAGCGAGCGCAGGAGGCACTGACAGCCATTGAGAGAGAGGCGGATGAGACAAATAGAGCTCTCACACACCACTTGAACCCCCAACCCCCCCACACGAAATTCTCCAGGTGCGGGAAACAAGAGTACGGCGGGTGGAGGAGAGCGAGGAGGACGCGAGGAAGCGAGCGCAGGAGGCACTGACAGCCGTTGAGAGAGAGGCGGATGAGACGAGGAGAGCGCTCACACACCACTTGACCACCACCCCCCAACCCCCCCCACCCCACCACCCACACACACGCACCACCTGCAGGTGCGAGAGACGAGAGTACGACGGGTGGAGGAGAGCGAGGAGGACGCGAGGCGGCGAGCACAGGAGGCGTTGGCAGCCGTTGAGAGAGAGGCGGATGAGACAAGGAGAGCGCTCAAGCGAAAGCTGGAGGAAGCTTCCAGGACGGAGCTGGTGAAGAAGGAGATTCCGCTCAAGCTGAGAATCAAACCAGAGGACTCGGAAGATGTGGTGAGTGCGGTGCAGAGGGGTGCGGAGGGGTGAGTGTTAGGGTCTGGTGAGGTCACATTGCTATGGTAACGTTGTGACTCTGACTTACTTGAGCAGTCTTATGACTTCCCTCTTTCTCCGTGATACCATCACTCCATGTGTTTCCACTCATTCCTCCTATCCTGATCTTTGTCCTGTATCCGCGTCCCTTGTCCCCATTGCCTTCTCCTTTTCCGTGAGCCTCCTCCCTTCCTCCTGCATTCTTCTCCCCAAAAAGCCAACAACAAGAGGCAGACTCACTCGTTCCTGTCACATGTCCTCTACCCATGTCCTCTACCCATGTCCTCTACCCATGTCCTCTACCCATGTCCTCTACCCATGTCCTCTACCCATGTCCTCTACCCATGTCCTCTACCCATGTCCTCTACCCATGTCCTCTACCCATGTCCTCTACCCATGTCCTCTACCCATGTCCTCTACCCATGTCCTCTACCCATGTCCTCTACCCATGTCCTCTACCCATGTCCTCTACCCATGTCCTCTACCCATGTCCTCTACCCATGTCCTCTATACCCATGTCCTCTACCCATGTCCTCTACCCATGTCCTCTACCCATGTCCTCTACCCATGTCCTCTACCCATGTCCTCTACCCATGTCCTCTACCCATGTCCTCTACCCATGTCCTCTACCCATGTCCTCTCCCAGTCCTCTACCCATGTCCTCTACCCATGTCCTCTACCCATGGCCTCTACCCATGTCCTCTACCCATGTCCTCTACCCATGTCCTCTAACCCATGTCCTCTACCCATGTCCTCTACCCATGTCCTCTACCCATGTCCTCTACCCATTCCTCTACCCATGTCCTCTACCCATGTCCTCTACCCATGTTCCTCTACCCATGTCCTCTACCCATGTCCTCGTACCCATGTCCTCTACCCATGTCCTCTACCCATGTCCTCGTACCCATGTCCTCTACCCATGTCCTCTACCCATGTCCTCTACCCATGTCCTCTACCATGTCCTCTACCCAGTCCTCTACCCATGTCCTCTACCCATGTCCTCTACCCATGTCCTCTACCATGTCCTCTACCCATGTCCTCTACCATGTCCTCTACCCATGTCCTCTACCCATGTCCTCTACCCATGTCCTCCTACCCATGTCCTCTACCCATGTCCTCTACCCATGTCCTCTACCCATGTCCTCTACCCATGTCCTCTACCCATGTCCTCTACCCATGTCCTCTACCCATGTCCTCTACCCATGTCCTCTACCCATGTCCTCTACCCATGTCCTCTACCCATGTCCTCTACCCATGTCCTCTACCCATGTCCTCTACCCATGTCCTCTACCCATGTCCTCTACCCATGTCCTCTACCCATGTCCTCTACCCATGTCCTCTACCCATGTCCTCTACCCATGTCCTCTACCCATGTCCTCTACCCATGTCCTCTACCCATGTCCTCTACCCATGTCCTCTACCCATGTCCTCTACCCATGTCCTCTACCCATGTCCTCTACCCATGTCCTCTACCCATGTCCTCTACCCATGTCCTCTACCCATGTCCTCTACCCATGTCCTCTACCCATGTCCTCTACCCATGTCCTCTACCCATGTCCTCTACCCATGTCCTCTACCCATGTCCTCTACCCATGTCCTCTACCCATGTCCTCTACCCATGTCCTCTACCCATGTCCTCTACCCATGTCCTCTACCCATGTCCTCTACCCATGTCCTCTACCCATGTCCTCTACCCATGTCCTCTACCCATGTCCTCTACCCATGTCCTCTACCCATGTCCTCTACCCATGTCCTCTACCCATGTCCTCTACCCATGTCCTCTACCCATGTCCTCTACCCATGTCCTCTACCCATGTCCTCTACCCATGTCCTCTACCCATGTCCTCTATACCCATGTCCTCTAACCCATGTCCTCTACCCATGTCCTACCCATGTCCCTACCATGTCCTCTACCCATGTCCCGCTACCCATGTTCCTCTACCCATGTCCTCTACCCATGTCCTCTAACCATGTCCTCTACCCATGTCCTCTACCCATGTCCTACTACCCATGTCCTCTACCCATGTCCTCTAACCCATGTCCTCTACCCATGTCCCTCTACCCATGTCCTCTAGCCCATGTCCTCTACCCATGTCCTCTACCCATGTCCTCTACCCATGTCCTCTACCCATGTCCTCTACCCATGTCCTCTACCCATGTCCTCTACCCATGTCCTCTACCCATGTCCTCTACCCATGTCCTCTACCCATGTCCTCTACCCATGTCCTCTACCCATGTCCTCTACCCATGTCCTCTACCCATGTCCTCTACCCATGTCCTCTACCCATGTCCTCTACCCATGTCCTCTACCCATGTCCTCTACCCATGTCCTCTACCCATGTCCTCTACCCATGTCCTCTACCCATGTCCTCTACCCATGTCCTCTACCCATGTCCTCTACCCATGTCCTCTACCCATGTCCTCTACCCATGTCCTCTACCCATGTCCTCTACCCATGTCCTCTACCCATGTCCTCTACCCATGTCCTCTACCCATGTCCTCTACCCATGTCCTCTACCCATGTCCTCTACCCATGTCCTCTACCCATGTCCTCTACCCATGTCCTCTACCCATGTCCTCTACCCATGTCCTCTACCCATGTCCTCTACCCATGTCCTCTACCCATGTCCTCTACCCATGTCCTCTACCCATGTCCTCTACCCATGTCCTCTACCCATGTCCTCTACCCATGTCCTCTACCCATGTCCTCTACCCATGTCCTCTACCCATGTCCTCTACCCATGTCCTCTACCCATGTCCTCTACCCATGTCCTCTACCCATGTCCTCTACCCATGTCCTCTACCCATGTCCTCTACCCATGTCCTCTACCCATGTCCTCTACCCATGTCCTCTACCCATGTCCTCTACCCATGTCCTCTACCCATGTCCTCTACCCATGTCCTCTACCCATGTCCTCTACCCATGTCCTCTACCCATGTCCTCTACCCATGTCCTCTACCCATGTCCTCTACCCATGTCCTCTACCCATGTCCTCTACCCATGTCCTCTACCCATGTCCTCTACCCATGTCCTCTACCCATGTCCTCTACCCATGTCCTCTACCCATGTCCTCTACCCATGTCCTCTACCCATGTCCTCTACCCATGTCCTCTACCCATGTCCTCTACCCATGTCCTCTACCCATGTCCTCTACCCATGTCCTCTACCCATGTCCTCTACCCATTGTCCTCTACCCATGTCCTCTACCCAGGTCCTCTACCCCTGTCCTCTACCCATGTCCTTCGACCCATGTCCTTCTATCACATGTCCCTCTACCCATGTCCTCTACCCATGTCCCTCTACCCAGGTCCTCTACCCATGTCCTCTACCCCATGTCCTCTACCCATGTCCTCTACCCATGTCCTCTACCCATGTCCTCTACCCATGTCCTCTACCCATGTCCTCTACCCATGTTCCTCTGACCCATGTCCTCACCATGTCCTCTACCCATGTCCTCATACCATGTCCTCTACCATGTCCTCTACCCATGTCCTCTACCCATGTCCTCTACCCATGTCCTCTACCCATGTCCTCTACCCCATGTCCTCTACCCATGTCCTCTACCCATGTCCTCTACCCATGTCCCCTACCCCATGTCCTCTACCCATGTCCTCTACCCATGTCCCTCATACCCATGTCCTCCACCCATTTCCTCTCACCCATGTCCTCTACCCATGTCCCTCTACCCATGTCCTCTAGCCCATGTCCTCTACCCATGTCCTCCATGTCCTCTACCCCATGTCCTCTTACCCATGGTCCTCGACCCATGTCCTCTACCCATGGTGTCCTCACCCATGTCCTCTACCCATGTCCTACCCATGTCCTCTACCCATGTCCTCTACCCATGTCCTCTACCCATGTCCTCTACCCATGTCCTCTACCCATGTCCTCTACCCATGTCCTCTACCCATGTCCTCTACCCATGTCCTCTACCCATGTCCTCTACCCATGTCCTCTACCCATGTCCTCTACCCATGTCCTCTACCCATGTCCTCTACCCATGTCCTCTACCCATGTCCTCTACCCATGTCCTCTACCCATGTCCTCTACCCATGTCCTCTACCCATGTCCTCTACCCATGTCCTCTACCCATGTCCTCTACCCATGTCCTCTACCCATGTCCTCTACCCATGTCCTCTACCCATGTCCTCTACCCATGTCCTCTACCCATGTCCTCTACCCATGTCCTCTACCCATGTCCTCTACCCATGTCCTCTACCCATGTCCTCTACCCATGTCCTCTACCCATGTCCTCTACCCATGTCCTCTACCCATGTCCTCTACCCATGTCCTCTACCCATGTCCTCTACCCATGTCCTCTACCCATGTCCTCTACCCATGTCCTCTACCCATGTCCTCTACCCATGTCCTCTACCCATGTCCTCTACCCATGTCCTCTACCCATGTCCTCTACCCATGTCCTCTACCCATGTCCTCTACCCATGTCCTCTACCCATGTCCTCTACCCATGTCCTCTACCCATGTCCTCTACCCATGTCCTCTACCCATGTCCTCTACCCATGTCCTCTACCCATGTCCTCTACCCATGTCCTCTACCCATGTCCTCTACCCATGTCCTCTACCCATGTCCTCTACCCATGTCCTCTACCCATGTCCTCTACCCATGTCCTCTACCCATGTCCTCTACCCATGTCCTCTACCCATGTCCTCTACCCATGTCCTCTACCCATGTCCTCTACCCATGTCCTCTACCCATGTCCTCTACCCATGTCCTCTACCCATGTCCTCTACCCATGTCCTCTACCCATGTCCTCTACCCATGTCCTCTACCCATGTCCTCTACCCATGTCCTCTACCCATGTCCTCTACCCATGTCCTCTACCCATGTCCTCTACCCATGTCCTCTACCCATGTCCTCTACCCATGTCCTCTACCCATGTCCTCTACCCATGTCCTCTACCCATGTCCTCTACCCATGTCCTCTACCCATGTCCTCTAC